AGTGCTACATGTACCCTTCGCCTGGTTTCTCCTCCATGATTGACATCTTACATGACTACAGTACAATGTCAAAGCCAGGAAGTCAGGTGACATTGTTAAACTCTACAGAACTCAGATTTCAGGTTTCACTATTTACATGCACTTGTGTGTGTGCGTGTACATGTAGCACTCTTCCATTTCATCACATATGTAGACTCTTGTAACCACCACTGCAATCAAGATACAGAACTATCTCATCCCCACAGAAATCTCCTTTGTGCTGCTCTAAGTCACACCCACCCATCCCAACCCCTGGACACTACTAATCTATAAACCGTGTCTACAATTTTGTTATTTTGAGAATATTATATCAATGGAATCATACAGCATGTGACCTTTGGCAACTGGTTTTTATCACTAAGCTTAATGCCCTTGAAATGTGCTAACTCCTTCAATAGTCATTTAACCTCCATAATTTTCTTACAAAGTATGATTCTCCTCATTTCACCATTAAAGAAATCGAGGTACATACAGGTTGAGTAACATGCCCCTTGTCTCATGCTGGTGAGGGCCTAGAAAGGACTTGAAATCAATATAGAGTTTACCATTTTAACCATTTTTAAGTGCACATTCACAATGTTGTGCAACAATTACCACTATCCATTTCCAGGACTTTTTCAACATTTCAAACAGAAACTCTGTCCCCATTAAACACTTAACTCCCCATGAACACCCCCAGCCCATGGTAACCTCTGTCCTGCTTTCTATCTCTGAATTTGCCTGTTCTGGGTACCTTACATAATATACAACATGTAACAACAGTAACAATATTATACCAAATATGTCCTTTTGTGTTTGGCATATTTCACTTAGCATAACTAGTGTACCATATATCAGAAGGTCATTCTTTTTTATAGCTGAATATTATTCCATTGTATGAATGGACATTTGTTTGTTTGTTGATGGACATTTATTTTGTTTTCACCTTGGGGCTGTTGTGTTCAATAGCTATGAACATTGTGTTCAAGTATCTGAGTCCCTGTTTCCATTACTTTTGGGTATGTACCTAGGAGTGAAGTTGCTGGATCATATGGTAATCCTGTGTTTAATTTTCCGAGGAACTGATTTCCATACAGCTCCACCAGCATTCCCACCAACAATGCACGAGAGCTCCAATTTCTGCCCATTCTCAGCGACGCTTGCTATTTTCCTTTTCTTAAAAAAATAATAGCCGTTCTAATGGATGTGCACGCTACTGCATCTGACAGCATCTTGCTTTGCTCTTTATATAGTTTGGTCCTAAGCTAGTTTACCTGCCTACTTTAAACCCCTGCTTCCTCAGATCTGGACCCTTCATCTTGGTCCCCAGACGCTGTCTGAGAGCCCGGCCCAGGCCTGACGCAATCATGCCTCCTTTTCCCCTCTCCCTGCTGCAGCAGCAATCCCTTTCCTGGTGCCTTTCACCCTCAACTTCACCATCACCAACCTGCACTACGAGGAGGACATGCAGCACCCGGGCTCCAGGAAATTCAATGCCACAGAGCGGATCCTGCAGGGTCTGGTGAGAGCCCAGCCTACTAATGCCAGCCCCACCCACTTTACCCAGCCCTGCCCACTAGTGTCAGCCCCTCCCACCCCGCTTATGCCCCCATCCTCACCACCTCCACCCTATTCACCCCACGAATCCCCCAGCTCCTCCTGCCCTCCCTCAGTGGTTCCTTCTCACCTCCCCTCTCCTCTCTCATAGCTCAAATCTGTGTTCAGGAAGAGCAGTCTGAGATTACTCTATGCAGGCTGCAGACTAGCCTCGCTCAGGTGAGACCCTCCCCAAGAACACAGCCCTGCTGGGCTATGGGACCCTAACCTATGGGCTCCGTGACTTTGTCCCTATTTGGAATAACCACTGCCCATGGATCCTAAGCATTGAAAATACCTACAACAACAACAGCATTTAAAAATTACTAAGACCCAGGGAACTGTGCTGTCACTTTATATTTAATCTCATCAGTCTTCCCAACAGCCTCATGAAGCAGGAGCAAAAGGTGAAACTGAGGCTCAGAGGGATGAAGTAGCTTGCACAAGTCTCACAGAGCAATCCCAGCATTTTGGGGTATAGATCCAAACTCCTAGCCTTTAAGCAGCACTGTCTCCGCTGCCCACATTATGACCTTACAGTGTGTGGAAAATATCAATCTGACAACCTCTCTAAAGGAACTGCCCAGATAATCTACAAGAGGAAGAAGAGCTAGTGTTACAGAGAGAAAGTGTGCTCCCAAATGGGTCAGACTCAGCTGAAGGGAGCCTGCCCTGCCCAGAGACAGCTAGGGGTTTAGGCAAACACTGTCCCCTAAAAAGGTCTAGAAAGGGCATCTGAACACAGCCTGGGGTGGAAATGGGTTGACACTGGTATAATTCCTAATACACATTATTGAAATTATAATCTATATTACTTAGTGTATATATATCACATATTAGGTATCGGTATAACAGAAATAACATATAATTTATATATGCACAATATAGAATACAATAATAAATAAAATATAAGTAAATATACATTATTATACATGTTAAACATATATTTATGTTTGTTGATTTATTATATTTACATTATATATAGTTGTGTTATATATAATACATACTATAACGAGTGTAATGAAAGTTGTAGGAATTGAACAATACAGCCCGTAGGGATGCTTTGGTGATTGAATGACGTGCTAATGAGTATGAAATGCTGGCCTGCTGCGTAGTAAATATTTAATAAACAGCAGTTGTGCCCTAGCCGGTTTGGCTCAGTGGCTAGAGCGTCGGCCTGCTCCCTGAAGGGTCCCAGGTTCAATTCCGGCCAAGGGCAGGTGCCTCGGTTGCAGCCTTGGTCTCTGGCCCCCATCGGGGCCCTTGCAGGAGTCAACCAACTGCTGTGTCTCTCTCACATCGGTGTTTCTCTCTCTCTCTCTCTCTCCCTTTCTCCCTTCCACTCTCTCTGAAAAGCAATGGGAAAAATATCCTCAGGTGAGGATTCATTAAGTAAATAAACAGATGGTCGTTGTTATTGTGGGAGGCAGGGCATCCCTGGCGCTGGGGCATGGGTGCCCCTTTCTCTCTGGAGATGGTGCCGATGCACAGAGGCCCTTATGTTGAATGAGTTACGCTGTCAGGCAGGGTGACCACCCATTACAGCTTGAGCCTAAGCACCTTGTTATGTCTGTCAGGACTTGTGACAGGATTTGGTTGTCATTTGGCCTCTTCCAGGATTGTTAGCCTCCCTCAACAAGTGCCTTCTCTGTGTCTGTCCCACACCTAGTGCTTTCAGAGGCATCTCTCCCAGGCATGCAAGAGGCTTGGAGTCCATGGGTTTCTAGCTACTTGCTTCTGGAGGTTATCTTCCTGAGGGCAGCAGTTAGTTTCCCTAGTTCCTGTCTTAGGGGCTGGCCAAGAGAGGGAGGGAAGGATGAATGATGGAGAGATAGTTGGACCAACCATATGGAGGTTCTCACCCAGCCCCGAGAAGGATGGGACAGCCACCAGAGTGGACGTCATCTGCACTCATCGCCCTGACCCTGAAGGCCTTGGACTAGACAGAGAGCAGTTGTACTGGGAGCTGACACAGCTGACCCACAGCATCACCCTGCTGGGACCCTACATGCTGGACAGGGACAGTCTCTATGTCAATGGTGAGCAGCTGCAACGTGGTCTCTTCCTCCCTACTGGGCAGCCCCTCCCCTCTGACTTGAGATCACACTTCCAGTGGGCCCTTCGGGGTTTGGCCAAGTGCACGAAGTGATTTGGGCTCATGGCTTTTTCTTCAACTTGGACTGACTTCTCCCTCAGTGCCTTCTTTCCTGATGTGAGGGAGCTGATGGAGAATCCCCAATAGCCTCTGCCCCATGAAACCCCCTCCATTGCACCAGGGTACCCCTGACCCGTATTTGGTCCCCCCCTCTCCCCAACCCTTACCCACTTCCTTTCTCACTCTGGCTGTAGGTTTCACCCATCGGAGCTCCACACTCATCACCAGCAGTGAGTACACAGTTGGTGTCCCAGTGCCCCCTACACCAGGCAAGAAAGGAGCTGACCCTTCCTCACGCCCACTTATGTCCTCTCCAGGAGGGAAGGAGCTCCCGGGAGGGCACAAATTATTCACTGTCCCCTCTTCCCCAGTTCTAGAGGGAATCCCTGCTCCATCCCCACATACAGTAAGCCCAATAAATAATATCTCCTGCCGGCATTTCTGCCATGTGAGTGCCTTTCTGCTTTCACTGACAAGGCTTTTCTGCAGCTCCTGCAACCTCCACGGTTGACCTAGAGAACTCTGGGACTCCATCTTCATTCTCCAGCCCCACAGGTGAGTACCAGTCAATGGCACATCTGTGAGAGAGTGCCCGTTGAGTGTAAACATATCTGATATTATTCTCTGAAATAAGATGGAAAGTCATAGTAAATCTAGTAATAATGAGTCAGCCAACAAACTTTATTGAGCATCTACTCTATGTGGGCCCTGGGGATACAACAGGGAATGTGAAATTTTAAAAAATCCCTGCCCTCACAGAGCTTATATCCTTGTGATATAAGAATACATGTTGTGATGATGATGATGGTAATGATGGTGGTGATAATAATGATTGATGGTGATGTGGTGGTGGTGATGGTGTGATGATGAGGGTGGTGATGAGGCTGCTGATGGTGCTAATGATGACAGTGATGATGATAATGGTGATGGTGACAATGGTGATGGTGGGGATCAAAAGATAACAGATAATATCTGACATTATTGAGTATTGAATATGAACCCAGTGCTATGCTCAGCATCTAACTAGTATTATTAAAGATGCTTTTAAAAACTTTTTATCATTATAGCCATGGAAGGCATGGAAACATTTTATCACTCACTTTAAATCTTGTTGCTTATTTTTAAAAATAGATATACTGCACACTCTTGCATTTCCTCTGTATTTGAGCATTATGTTTATTTCTGTTGACCTCAATGTTAAGTAAACCTGCTGTATGGAGCAACTGTGTCTTCCTCCTTTGTGCTCCCCAGTGTCCACTGCAGTGACCTGCTCATGGTAGGTCTATAGGAAATAGGTGGATCCTCCCAGGAGAGGAAGGAATGAAGTATGATTCCTTGTGATGTGTGGAAACCCTCCATTCCTTCCCTGGTTCTAACCCCGAATGACTCTGTCAGCTTGTGCCCAGTACAAATGTATGGCTCTGTGTCAGCACTCCCCACTCCCTCACCCGTGGCCAGCATCACTAAGTGATAACAGCATCCATTCTTTCTGAGCTCAAGACAGCTTCAGAATCCTTACCAACAAAATACCCCAGGCAGTCGCTACCATGTCAGTTGGAGTTGTCACAGGATTCTGGAGCACAACTCAAGGAAATTAGGTTCCTAGATGATGTGCGAGAGGCTCCTTGGTTTTCCTGGGAGGCATCTGTGAGTTGGAAATTCTCAGCTCAAGTTCAACTGCGTCATAACTGAGAACCCCAGTTTGATCCAAGACTACTCATACTGGCTAACTACTTGCCTGTGAGGCTCAGCCAATAGGAGGCATTGGCAGAACAGTGGTGGGCAAGGCAAGAGAATAGCCAGGGTATTTCTTCACCCTCCTCTCTTCTGTTTCATGTAGCATCTCCAGCAGGGGCTTTGTCCCCTCCATGGTCTCAGCAATCTCTGGTATGCCACTCTCTCGTCCCTTTGTGCCATTAGCCCTATGGGGCTAGGGATTCTTGATTTTACTCATCTCTCTCTGTGCTACGCTTTCAGTATTTTTCTATTAAATTCCCTCTATCGAAATACCTGACATAGATTCTGTTTTCCTAACTAGAAATATATGTGCCCAGTGGTGGTGGCACATAATTTGATGTGATGCCTTATGCATCAATCAATATTCGCTCAAAGAATGAATGAATGAATGAATGAATGAATGAATGAATGAACTAAAATTGTAACTAGGAACCTGAGGCATGAGTCTGGTCACATAATAGGGCTGATAAAGTCTTGGCATCACATTAGGGGCCTCCAAATCAGAACTCCTGAGGGAAGAACCAATTCCGGGTATCAGGAGCGTTGGGTATGATTTACATGGAGGATCCTGGCTGCTTTGGATTAAGAACCGGGCTGGGTGGAGCCGTCTGGTGGAGAAATCAGAGCCCATCTCTGTGAGGGCTCAGAAGCTCAGGCTGGACTAAACAGAGTCCTAGCAGGCTCAAGATAGGTCCTCTCATTTGCCTTCCAGTTGCAACAACAAGCCCTACCCTGGTGCCATTTACCCTCAACTTTACCATCACGAACCTGCTGTACACGCCAGACATGGGGCGTCCAGGATCTGCAAAGTTGAACATGATGGAAGAGGTCCTGCAGCCCATTGTAAGAGCCCCAGGCTGCCTGCTGCCCACTCCTCTTCACCGCCCCCCAGTTCCCTTGCCTTCTCCTGCTTACCTCCCTCTTATTTCTCCCCAGCTTGGTTCTTTGTTCCAGAACACCAGCATCGGCCCGCTGTACTCTGACTGCAGACTGAGCTCACTGAGGTGAGGCGCTGGGGAGAGGGTGCCTCCCAGATCCAGTTTCTGTTCTCCACCCCGCGTGTGTCCCCCTTGCCCAGCGTAGCAGGCTCTCGGTACCTGTGTTGCTGCACCTACTGAGCCTCCCCCCCGGTTCCTGTTTCTCTGGGTTCTGTTTTGTCTTCTGACAGGTCCTAACCAAGATGTAGAACATCTCCCAGTATTTAAAGCCCTGTAATTTCCAAAATTATACTGTACTGAGGAATATTTAAAAAGCAAAAATGAACGAACAATCCTTGTGGCATGCACATTTCTTAACCCACATTTAAGAGGCTCAAAGGTGATGCAAGATCTCAGGGCTGCTCCCACCTGAATATTGCCCACCGTGGCCTAATCTGACAGTGGGATAGCAAGAGACTGGCACGTGAAAGATGCACAAACCTTGGCNTGTAATTTCCAAAATTATACTGTACTGAGGAATATTTAAAAAGCAAAAATGAACGAACAATCCTTGTGGCATGCACATTTCTTAACCCACATTTAAGAGGCTCAAAGGTGATGCAAGATCTCAGGGCTGCTCCCACCTGAATATTGCCCACCGTGGCCTAATCTGACAGTGGGATAGCAAGAGACTGGCACGTGAAAGATGCACAAACCTTGGCCAACTTGAGTTTCAATCCACCTTCTTCGTCTATTGATTATTAATAAATTCTAGATATTTTGTCTTTTTATTTTCCCTTCTGAGGAAGAGTATTTCAGCTTTGTGACTTTTCTAGATATTTCATTCTTATAGTCTCCCTCAGCATCAATCCTGCATATTTCCTCATATCTGTGTTCCTCCCCTACGCCAGGCCCGAGAAAGATGGATCTGCCACCGGAGTGGATGCCATCTGCACCTACCACTATGAGCCCACAAGCACTGGGCTGGACAGAGAGCAGCTGTACAGGGAGCTGAGCCATGAGACCCACGGTGTCACCTGGCTGGGCTCCTTTAGTCTGGACAGGAATAGTCTTTATGTCAATGGTGAGTGGAGGCTCGGCCGTCAGGATTTCATGCAGACTGTGCGCTCTGGCTCATGGCACACATTCTGGATCTCCCGTCGTCCTCTGCGGTGTGGGGAGGATTTGAGCTTGTCTCAGACTGGCCGACACCATTAGGGAAGAGGCATCTATCCGTTCACAGCTTTTCCAGAGATATAGTGAGAGATCAGACACTCAGAGAAGGGGGTTGGGGACAGAGGACAGAGGGATGAAGATGACAGGTGACCTGATATAGAAATTCTTCCCTGTGCTTTAGTAGCATTGTTTGGGATTGGTCTATAGGGTCTTCATTTTGAGGATGCTCCAAAAATACTGCTAAAATAGATTCATAGATACTCAATGGGCCCAGATTCTTTTTCTTTTTTTAAAATTTATCTTTATTGTTGAAAGTATTACAGATGTCCCCCTTTTCCCTCATTAGCCCCTTCCACCTCCCACCCACTCCCTGCCCCAGGCCTTCGCCGCACTATTGTCTGTGTCCATGGGTTATGTGTATATGCATATAGATTCTTTGGTTAATCTCTCCCCACCCGACCACCCCCACCTTTCCCTCTGAGGTTCAGCTCTTGACACTTTCTCCCAACCCCATCCTTATAACTCTTCACCCTCTCTCTCCCTCTATTGCTGCAGGTTACACCCATCAGGCCCTGACCTCCACCTCCAGCAGTAAGTACTATTATGGGTCCCAAGGTTTCTTTGCCTTGGGGACCATCTCCTCTCTGCTATCCTTACCACACTTCTCCAGGGAGGCAAAAAGTCAGCAAACTTCAATTTTTCACACCTTCACTCTCCTGCTCAGAAAAGAGGAGCCTGGTACAGGCTAGAGGACAAACAGGAAAAAGGTCTGAAGGCCCCACGCTGGGCCCTCTTTGGCTGGGGAGGCCCTCGGCCATCATCTGTGACTTGCTGTGTTTTCTTTGCAGTTGTTGTGGCCTCCACCATCTCCCCGGCAACCTCAGCAACCCCAGTTCCAGTCTCCATAGGTAGGAACTTCCTCTCTGTAATTCCCAGTGGCGAGCCACGACCATTTCTTCATTCATTCAATAAGTATTCATTTGGCACTTGCGAATGTGGATCCAGATCCACGTTCAGTAAGTATTCATAAAAGGCCCCGGCAGTGCAGAAGCAAACAGAATAGAAAGGGGCCTAGTCTTTGATAGGCTTCCTGCAAGAAAGACAGACAATAAAGACTTGAGGGTATAAATCGGTATTGAATTACAATCAGGATGGCCTTGGGTGAATTCTGCAGGTGTCTCTGTTGGGGAGTTGGAGGCTTCTTTCTCTAGGCTCTTTAGTTTTCATTTCCAGGAAACAAGGGAACCACATGAGCTCTGTGTATACCTAGAAATGCCCTCTTACAGGCCCTGGCCAGGGATTTGGGCATTTTCTGGTTGGAATGAGGGCCAGCTTTCCACTCCTGGGCTCATGATAGATTGTGACAACACCCACTGTCCCAGATGAGGGTCCTAGATGGACTGGCGTTACCTCTGTATCGCTCAAGTGCGTCATACTCATCAGCCAGGGCCTCTTGAAGGCATTTGGATCCCTGTTCACTCATCCAGAAAGAGCGGTCAGTGAAGGTGGGATCTGCCTGTGGTCCTAGGTGGAGGACAGGAGCACAGACTCTGGGACCACAAGGCCTGGGTTCAAATTACCCTCTGCCATTTAGAGATTGTGTGATTTGGGGCAAATTATTTAAACTCCCTTGGGCTTTGTCTTTACATCTGTACACTGCAGATAAAAATACTACCTTCCTCCAAAGGGTTTGCCTCATGGCTTAAATGAGTTAAAATGTAAGTGAAGCACTTAAAACAGGTCCTGACCCCTAAAACCACAGTGTGTTTCTTCAGACAATTTTAAAAAATCAGTAAGTAAGTGGATCTCATAAAAACAATTTGGATAAAATAAAAAATAAAACCCTCCAGAAGAGAGGATATTTGTCTGGAATTTTAGCAGACTGGAAGGCCATGTGTGTCTGCTTCCGGCTTCGTGGTGAATTTGCTTCTGTAGTGCAATTTGTCACACCTGTCCTCAGTGCTCCCCAGTTCATGCTGATGTCCGGGATGTCCTTTCTCTGAAGCTGCCCGTTTTGGAAGAGGACATGTGTGCTGCCCCACACTCAGGTGCACTGAGCTCCGGGTGGGCTCAGTGGGCATCTCTCTTCCACCTCCACTGCAGTCACTGTCCCTGCCCTGGTGCCATTCACTCTCAACTTCACTCTCACTAACCTGCACTACGAAAAGGACATGGGTCGCCTTGGTTCCTCGAAGTTCAACAGCACTCAAAGAGTTCTGCAGGGCCTGGTGAGAGCCTCACCCACTTCACTCTTGTCCCAGCCACTGAAGCTGGCCCACCTAACCCCTGCCACACCCATGGAAGCTGACCCTGGCCCACCTCACTCTAGCCCCAACCACCAATGCAAGTCCCGTCCACCTACCTGTCACACCCATGGAAGTAGACTCTACCCATCTCATCTTTGTCTCCATAGATTCAAGCCCCACCCACTTATGCCAGCCCCATTCACCTCACTTCTGCTGCCCATCCACTCACTTCCCTTTCCCTCCTCTACAGCTTAGAATCTTGTTCAAGAAGAGCAGTGTGGACCCCCTGTACTTGGGCTGCAGACTGACCATGCTAAGGTAAGACCTTGGAACAGCCAGTCAGGGCAGCCTCAGGTGCTCCGAGACCTGAGGAGTTTGGTCCCATTCCTTCCTGCCCTCCCTGTCCAGGTCCCCAGCAAGGTAGAATTTAGGAGGCACTTGTTCCAAGACCAATGCCTCTTCTGATTGTACCTCCCCCCTACCACTGTCCCCAGCTTCTGCAGAGCCCATCAGCAGGACTGGACCCCTAACCTGGTCATCCTTCTGAATTCCCTCCTCCCTTCCCTTGGACCAGCGAGGGTATTTCCTTTAGGTTTTCATTTCCATCCCCAGGATTTTCTCAAGCCAAATGTGTCTGTTTTACTTGCTTTAATCCCCAATTTCAAATGTACACATCTCAAGTATGAGCTCTCCTGTCCCCATACCTTGAGCATGCAGGTTTCTACCTTGCAATTTAATAATAATTCTCTCACCCACTGGCTCCTTCCTGTCCTGCCCCCAAGAATGTCAAGACCCCTCCCTAGGAACTAACTTCATTTATTGTCATTCCCATTACCCACCCTTTGCCAGGCCCAAGAAAGATGGGACAGCCACTGGAGTGGGCATGGTCTGCAGATACCGCTCAGACCCTGTGGTCCCCGGGCTGGATAGGGAACGGCTGTACTGGGAGATGAGCCAACTGACCTATGATGTCACTCGGCTGGGCCCCTACACCCTGGACCAGGACAGTCTCTACGTCAATGGTGAGGAGCTGCAGTGGTTTTTGCATCTCAGCAGGTCCCACATCCCCATTCTTCATTTCCCCCTTTCCCCCATCCCTCTGGCTCCTCACCTTATCTTTCTCTACTTGTGCAGGTTACACCCGCCAGACTCGGGCAACCACCCCCAGCAGTGAGTATTCTGAGGTTTAAAAGCTCTACAACCCCATAAGTCTCAGCCCTTAGGAATGGAAAAGACCAGAAGTTCACTGCCTCCATGGCCCACCCCTACTCCACCCCCAGCCTCCAATGAAAAGGAACCAGTACCCAAGAAATCCCCAGGCATGACCACCCCCCCCACCGAATCTCCAAGATATGATGGCTCCCCAGCCCAAGCTTATGGGGGTTTTTCTCTCCAGTGTCTATGGTGGCCACAGTTTCTGCAGGGATCTCCAGTTCCACAGGTAGGCATTGTCTTTTCTGCAGATGCTCCCAGTCTCCCCTTTTGGGTTCTAAGCACAAGACGTAGAGGAGGGGTGCAGTAGGTGGCATCTCTCCAGCGAGGCCAAGGCTGACTCTGGAGTGTATGACCAGCTACCCAGGCCCCTGCAAATTTCTTGAATAACAGTCCCACCCCCAGACTCAGAGTCCTAAGCCATTCTCTGTGACGTGTTTCTGAAAACTATAGGTAGACCCAGAATTCTAAACCATCTCACAAACCTTAGAAGAACAAAGCAGAACCTCTCGCTGAGAACCGATTTGCCCAGTGGCCAGTTTGCCAGATCGGTAAAGGATCCACTCCCCAGTGTACCTACTTCACCAGTAGCTCACTTTGAGTATTCTTTGTGAATATATTGAATAGATATGACTTTATTTTTTTAATACCTTTATGAATCTGTTCCTTGTGAATATATACAGTTGACCCTCGAACAACACAAGTTTGAACTATGCAGGTCCACATATATGTGGATTTTTTTTCAAGAAATACCTGTCCTGTTTTTGATCCATGGTTAGGAGCCCATGGAAGAGGAGGGCCGACTGTATGTATTGATCTGCACTATTTTATACAGGGCACTTGGGCATCCATGGATTTTGGTAGCCACAGGGAGTCCTGGAACTGATCCCTCCAAATACCAAAGGTCAACTTAACTTTCGAGGGGAATCAAAAGTTACGTGCAATTTTCAACTGCACAGGGGTCAGCACCCCTAAAGCCTACATTGTTCACGGGTCAACTGTATAATCTCTCTGGCTATAGTCAGTGCAGAGAATCATTTCATCTTAGCCACACGGTAAGGAACGTGCAACTTATTGAAGTCTAGGGACCGTGGGGTGTTTCTCCATTTCACGATTATTTTGCGTGTGTTTGTCCCATCCCCCAACTTTTTATAATGCGAACTGTCAAAAATAGCCAAAACATGGAAACAGTAGTGCCAGGAGCCTCCATGCCCCTGGCCCCGTTATTGACATTTGGTCTTGTTTCTTACACAGCATTGTTGCGCCATCGCCTGACCCAGGCATTGCTGACCTGTGCTGTGCAAAACTGCACAGTGGAAATCACGGGGCTTATGCAAAAAATGGGGCTCAACACTGAAAACCTTGTCAGTGGCATAAAAAATAGGAATCTAATAAAACAAGTTTTATGTATGTTGAGTGGTTAAGAAATACATAAATACTACAAAAAATATAGCCCTTTACCTTGAGAGAGGCCTGGTGTTTCCTTGTGGAAGTGGTCATCACAGGGATTGAAGCTTGTGAGTTCTCATGAAGAGGTTTGGAAGGAGGGTTACTTGAAGTCAGCCAAGCCCTGGCCTGAGTGGCTCAGTTGGTTGAGCACTGTCCCATGCAACGAAAGGTCACCAGGTCGATTCTCCGTCAGGGCACATGCCTGGGTTGCGGGTTTGGTCCCTGGTCAGGGTGCATGCGGGTGGAGGGGGGGAACCGATTGATGTTTCTCTCTCACATCAGATGTTTCTCTCTCTCTCTCTCTCTCTCTCTCTAATGAATAAAAACATATCTTCGGGTGAGGATTTTAAAAAAAAGAAGTTCAAATTGGAAATTACAAAATAGTCATAGGGGTGTAAGTACAGCATAGAGGATATAGTTAATAATATTGTAATAACTATGTGTGGTGCCAGTGGGGTACTGGGACTATCAGGGGGAACACTTTGTAATGTATATGATTGTCTAACCACTAGGCTGTACACCTGAAACTAATACAAAATAATAGTGAATGTAAATTGTCATTGAAACAAAAATTTATAAAAGAGAGAGTTCACTACTGAGGAGGGAAAAGCAAGGGAACACTGGAGGGGGGGGGGATGAGAGAGGCTATGTGTCTAGGTGATGTGACCCGGCAGCCCAGGGGGCAGGTCTCTGGGTTAGACAGCTCTGAGGGGCAGTGGCTTAGGATGTCTGCAGGCACAGGGGTTACCCTTTTTATGGCTATCATATGGTGGGTGCAGTTTCACAGGATATGCAGAGCAGGCAGGCTCGAAATGGCTAAAATATGCTTGTCTGGGCTTTGCTTAAAACAATTGTACGTGTTGAAATTTGAGTTTAGTCCTGATAAGCTTTTGAGCTGATGGATCCCAGCCTGCTGTGAAGAAATAAGTAACCTAGAGGCTCATATACAGGCACCATCTCGGGGTCATTAATATAGCAGCCTGATACCATCGTCTTTACTTTCTGAATGTGGCCAAAGTTGGGAACCATGTAAAACAAAATATACCACTGCCTCCACTCCCCACCCCCACTCCATCTCCAGCCCCAGATAAATAGGAAATGATACCCATTAAAAGCCCCAGCCATGGGCACCCCTCCCTTTTATGTCCAAGCTGATGGGGTCCCAGAGCAGACAGGGATTGTGCTCCAGTGGCCCTTTGCCCCACATCTGGTCCAGCACTGACTCAGGCGTGGCCTCTCCTCCCCTCCCCGCTGCAGCTGCTGGCCCTGCCCTGGTGCCCTTCACCCTCAGCTTCACCATCACCAACCTGCACCACGCAGAGGACATGCAGCCAGGCTCTGCGAAGTTCAACTCCACAGAGTCGGTTCTACAATATCTGGTGAGGGCTCCCTGCTACCCGTTTTCCTTTCCAACTTTCCACCCTACCCCTCCTTGCCACAATTTCGGAGGATATGGAGGGGTTGGGAGGCAGGTAGCTCCAGGTTCAAAGCTTGGAACTGCCACAGGCAAGCGATGGGCTTTGGAGTGATCAGCCTTGTGGTAATGTTTCCTCACCTGTAAAACCGAGACAATGAAAGCCTTATCCCAAAGGCGCCTTTTGAGAATGAAATGTGGTATGAGAAGATTAGGGAGCTGTTATTTTACTGGAAAACATTGTGCTTTAAATGATGATTAGTTTTATTCTTACTTTTGATCCACCCACGCTTTCCTCCGCAGCTCAGGCCCTTGTTCAGCCACAGCATCATTGGCTCCGTCTACACTGGCTGCAGACTGACCGCACTGAGGTGAGACCTCCTGTTGGTCTTGCCTTTAGTGGTGGGTAAGGGTGGGCTCGTTGGGCTGGCCAGGGCTTACACTAAGCTATGGGAAGCGAGGTGCCTAGAGCACAGAACTTAATGAGATGCCCACCCTTGGGTACTAACCCTGTGCCTGCACAGCCCTGAGCGATAGCATGTCCTTAAATGCTGTACCTGGGCACCTTGCTTACCTAAATTCCCAGCCCTGGTGCTAGTGCTGTGCCCTCCTCGCTCTAGATCATCCAACCAGCCAGCCTGACTTGCAAGATCTGAATGGGACAGACCCGACTATAGATTTGCTTAGAAGGATGTGGAGAGGAAACAGCATGCCGGCAGGGCAGCACTGGGCATTTATTTCTCTGCAGGAAAGCTCTTGGCAGTTGAAGGGCTGATCTTTTGGCATTCCAGGTGGCTGTCCCTGTGCACAGAAATGAAACCTCAGTGGATAGGTGTTGGAGACACCCTGGCTTAGATGTCCCATGTCCCAAAGGGGAACCAATATCTCTTGTAACAGTCTTGCCCAGTTACCAGGGTCACCCCACACCTAAGCCCAAAACTATAGCTTCCTACTGGGTGTAGATGTCCATTTAATATAGCAGCCTGATACCATCATCTTTACTTTCTGAATGTAAAGTTGCAGAAAAGTTGCAGGCCAAAAGCAGCAACGCCTGGCAGGGCAACTGACATTGCACCTTTGTCAAGTAGGAGACCAGAGCCAGAAGCAGCTTAGCTCCAGGTTGCTTCCACCCTGCTGAGGTGCAAGGGACACTCTGTTTTCCCTGCTAATGCCCTCTGTCAGTACAACCTGCTGGGTCTCCTAGGTTATCTCTTCAGGCCTAGGTTCTCCTACTGGCCCAAAGAGGTGGTAACACAAGAGGCAGGTAAGCAGTGGTGGCGTCTCTGCTACACAGTGTCTCATGCTCAGATGCTCATGTCCAAAACTTGGCCTGGATCAGCTAGAGAGCTGATGAATCTCTATTCAGAGCTGCTATCCAGTTTCCCTAGGGACGGTGGGTGCTTGTAAATATTTGTTTAATTAAACAACTAATTAATTATGAGCACTTCTAATGTACTTGGCAGGAGGGCTGGGTATTTTATATCAATCATTTCTGAATCCCATGACATTCCAGAATTCTCTGTGCTGTAAAGATGGGAGAACTGAGTCAGAGAAACCATGTGGATTATTCAACAAGTGACAGAGCTAAGGTTGAACTGATGATCATCTGACTCTAAAATATCCACTCTGGTCCTTTGTGGCTCAATGATGCCCCTTGTCTTGTGAGCCACTCATGCCTGGACCAGGAGAATAGATAAACCGGCATCCACATACAAGTGGGCTGAGGAAAGAATGTCCTACCAGGATGTCTCTGTCTTGTTTCCATATCCATGTCCCTCTCTCCCCAGGCCTGAAAAGGGTGGAACAGCCACTGGAGTTGATGCCATTTGTACCCACCATCCTGATCCTGCAGGCCTGGCGTTGGATAGGGAGCAGCTTTACTGGGAGCTGAGCCACCAGACCCATGGTGTCACCCAGCTTGGTCCCTACATCCTGGACAGAGATCGTCTCTATGTCAATGGTGAGCCTCTGGTGGTGACAGTGGTCCTTTGCAGCACCAGCTGGATTCTTCTGTTGATGGTCTGAGTTCTAACCAAAGGATGCACCTATGTCTGCTTCTAGATTTCTCTCTCCTCACTCTCCCTCTCCTTGGGAGGTCCCTGTTCTCCATCATGTGCATATACATCACACAGAGAGAGGTGGAAAGTCAGAGAAAGGTTATAGGAGGCACAACCCACTGTCTGTAGGGATACAACCTCTTGATGGTATCTACTCTTCCACCAACGGTCTAACCCCTTCATCCCTTTCTTAATAACCTTTGAAATGTCCCATCTCACTCTTACCCACTCTGCAGGTTACACCAGACCAGCCTTGACCTCCATTCCCAGCGGTAAGTGTTTAAACCTTAGACGGCCCCACGGCCCCACGGCCCCACAGTGATTGGTGGGGGCAGCTGGTTCCTCTTCCCTATGGCTAAGGCCTCATGGTGGGGGGAGAAGCCCTAGAGCCCTTATTATGCCCACCACCACCCCAACTTCAACTCAGTTTGGGCATCAAGGCCAAACTGCCTCTAGCATCTCCAAGGTGAAGCTGCATCATTCTCATTTCTGATGCTTCCTCCTCAGTTTCTGTCACTTCCACACCCTCCTTGGGAACCTCAGTGACTCCAATCGCCTCCTCCAGTTCTACAAGTAAGAGCCTCCTCTCCATGTCTACTACCTTCCCGATACACTCCTCCGTGGTTTGCACTGAGAGGACAGTGTGCATGGGCAGGAAGGCAAGGGAACAGTGTGGGAGGGTAAAACTTGGGGCCCACACCTTCATCGCAGACCAGTCATCTCCATCCCTGTGTCTGGAGAGCTCTGAGACTCCAGGTTTTCTATCCAAGACTGAAGGTATGGCTCCTTTTAATCCACCTTTGGCTTTCCGTTAAGGTTTTGTATCAGTTAGCTTTTACCGTATAACAAATGAGCACCAAATCTACTGGATTAAAACAATCATTCGGCGCTGCTCATGAGTATACAGGTGAGCTCGGCAGTTTGTGTGGTCTGAACTCAGCATCCTCATGTGCCTGCAGCCTCCTGCAGGTCAGCCAGGCGACTCTGCTTCTGGAGGATGTGGGCTCATGGGTGAGGTGCCTCAGTTCTCCTTCACGTGGCCTCTCATCATCTACCAGTCTAGCTCTGGCTCATTCATATGGGGGTCCTAGAGTTCCCAGTACCAAGAGAGGGCAAGCCTCAGTGCACAAGGGTCTTTCAAGCCTCTGCTTGCACCACGTTGCTCTTTCCCATTAACCAAAGCAAATCATGGCTGAGCCAGAGTCAAGAGGTGAAGAAACAGGCTCCCATCGCAAGAGACAGGCGGCAACACACGTTGCAAGTGTGTAGGTTCAGGGATGTGAAGGATTGCTGGCCATTTTTATAATCTACCCCAAACCTGCTAGGGAACTTGTGACCATGTGGCCTTAGGTTGACCACATGGTGACCCTGGGGTGTGAGGGGGGTCAGTTAGTGAGAACAGATCCAGACGTGCATTCTGGAATAATTCTTCAGACTTCACCTTCTACTAGAATGGAATAGAAAAAGCCAAGGGCAAATCCAGGACTGGTTCCCAAAGGACAGACCAGAAGGGTCAGCAGAGGAAGCAGACGTAAATAACGACAGTGACAACAGAGCAAATGTCCCGGCATTCGCTGATTGCCACATAAGGGGACCCTGATTTATCTGATCCTCAACGTCTGCAGCCGGCCACTGCTGTTTCTCCATTTCAGAGAGGCATAGGCTGGTTCTTCGAGTAACCAATGTTTTCCTGAGGTCACACAGCCCGCAGATGGTCAGGACTGAACCCTAAGTTATTCAAACTCTAGAGCCTAAGCTTCTGCCCTGAAATAGCTGTGTGGCCTTGGGGAAGTGCCTTAATCTCTCTGAGACTCATTTTCATCCCCATCAGTTGTGGGTAAGTAGCAGGATGTACCTTCAAAGCTTGTGTGAGGATTACATGAGATGCTGGATGGAAAGTGCTAGCCCGGAGTGTAGCGTGGAGTAAGCTCTTACCAAACATCAGCTGTTATTATTGCTGCTATTTTTATTTATTGTCATTATTACTATTATTAGTGTTGTTCAAAATAAAGCTTCCTGTTCTGGGGAGAGACATTCTGAGCTCTTGCAAGAGATGTGAATACCAGATTCACCCCCACCTCACTGGCCCTGGCCCCTAAATTTAGCTTGGGGTGTGACGTCTCCTCTCTTGACCTCGCTGCAGTCTCTGTCCCCGCCCTGGTGCCATTCACCCTGAACTTCACCATCACCAACCTGCACTACATGAAGGACATGCAGGGTCCGGGCTCAGTGAAGTTCTACAAAATAGAGAAGATCCTGCAGCACCTGGTGAGAGTCCTGCCCACCTCATTCCTGCACTGCCCACCAATGCCCACCATGCCCACTGCTATCAGTCCCCCGCCTCTCCTATGCCCCGCTCACCTCTTCCTGCCCTCCAACTGATGCCAGCCTGCCCACCTCATCCTAGCCTGCCTCTGTCCTTCCCTGTCAGTCCTCTCCTCACCTCCTCTCCTCCAACAGCTCAGACCCTTGTTCAAGAACACCAGTATCGGCCTCCTCTACTCCAGCTGCAGGCTCGCCTTGCTCAGGTAAGACCACCAGGGTGCCCCAGGGAGGCACAGTGGAGATTTTTATCCACAGTCCTCTAGGGCTGGGTCCTCCCTTTGGCCTCAGCTCCTTCCAGCTCCCCACCTAAAACAGCCACTATCCCTCCGGTTCTGGCCCCCTGCTCTTGACCTTCCCATTCCCAAGAGCCTCAAATCTCACATACGAACAAAACGATAAAGAGTAATAACCTGAAAGTATGCACAGACTTCTTACATAAAGGATGCATCCCTGATCCTTCACAAAGAATAAACCCACAGCCTACCATGCCACCAACCCACACTGCATATATTTATTTTTTTAATTTAATTCATTGGGGTGACATGGGTTAATAACCAAACTTATATACGTTTCTAACATACAATTCTGTAATACTCATATACTGCATTGTGTGCTCCCCACCCAAAGTGTAGTCTCCGTCCATCGCCATATATTTGACCCCTTCACCCTGTTCAGCCTCCCCTCAACCCCTTCCTTCTGGTAGCCACCATTCTGTGGTCTGTGGCTATGACTTTTTGTTCGTTTGTTGCTTTTTGTTTTATATCCCACACATTAGTGAAATCATAAGCTTCTTATTTTTTCCATTTCATTTATTTCCCTCAGCATGGTACTCTCAGGGTCCATCCATGTTGTCGCAAACAGCAGCGGTTCATCCCTTTTCGTGGCTGAGTAGTATTCTATTGCATGTATGCACTACATCTTTTTGATCTAATCACCCATTGAAGGGCACTTAGGTTGTTTCCATGTCTTGGCTTCATGACTAATGCTGCAGTGAACATAGGGGCACATATATATTTATGAATAAGTCTTTTCAAAAATTCCAGGTAGATATTCAGAAGACAGATTGCTGAGTCATATGGTAACTATCTCCTTAATTTTTTGAGGAACCTCCATACTGTGTTCCACAGTGGCTGTACGAGTTTCCATTCCCTCCTGCAGTGAATGAGGGTTCCTTTTTCCCCACAACCTCTCCAAAGGTGTTATTACCAGTCTTGTTGATAATGGCCACTCTAACAGGTGTGAGGGGCTATCTTACTGTAGTTTTGATTTGGATTTTCTTTATAGCTGGTGAAGTTGAGCATCTTTTCATATATCTGCTGGCCATTCGTATGTCTTCTTGGGAAAGTGTCTGTTCAGGTCCCCTGCCCATTTTTTAATTGGATTGTTTGTTGTTGTTGAGTTGTATGAATTGTTGATGTGTTTTGGATGTTAGCACCTTATCAGAGGTATTGTTTGCAAATATCTTCCCCCATTTTTGCCTTTTTGTTTTGTTGGGCTTTTTTTGCTGTGCAGAAGCTTTTTCATTTGATGTACTCCTGTTGATTTATTTTTGTTTTTACTTCCTTGGCCTCAGGGATCAAAGTCACACAATCCTCTCTGAGACCAATGTCCATAAGTTAGTACCTATGTTTCCTTTTATTTACTTTATTGCTTCAGGTCTTAAATTTAGGTCTTTGGTCTATTTTGAGTTAATATTTGTGTGCGGTGTGCAGTAGCAGTCTAGTTTCATTCTTTTGCATGTGGCTTTCCAATTTTCCCTACATCATTTATTGAAGAGACTTTCTTTTCTCCATTGTATGTTTTTGGCACCTTTGTCAAAAATTAGTTGCCCATATACATGTGGGTTTATTTCTGGGCTCTCAACTGTATTCCACTGATCCGTGTGTCTATTTTTCTGCCAATACCATACTGTTGATTATTGTAGCTTTGTAGTATAATTTGAGGTTAGAGAGTGTACTACCTCTGGCTTTGGCTTTTTCTCCCCCCTCAGGGTTCCTTTGGCAATCTGAGTTTTTTGTGTGGTTCCATGCAAATTTGATAATTTTTTTGTTCTACTTCTCTAAAAAGTGCCATTGGAATTTTGACGGGGATTGTATTAAATCTGTATATTGAGTCTTAACTACGTTGAGTCTTTTTAACTATGTTGAGTCTTCTAATCCATGATTGTCTTTTTGTCTTCCTCAATTTTTAAAAATAATGTCTTGTAGTTTTCAATGTATAGATCCTTCACATTCTTTAAGTTTATTCTTAGGTATTTTATTCTTTTGTTGTAATTGCAAATGGAATTGTTTGTTTTATATTTCTTTTTCTGAAATTTTATTGTTAATCTAGGAATGCCATGGGTATTTGTACATTGATTTTGTATTTTGCAACTTTACTGTATTTGTTGATTGTTTCTAATAGTTTTTTAGGTGGATTCTTGCCATCTGCAAAAAGTGACAATTTTACTTCTTCCCAATTTGAATGCCTTTTATTTCTTTTTCTTGCCTGATTGCTCTGGCTAGGACCTCCAGTACTATGTTGAATAACAGTGGTGAGAGTGGGCAGAATTGCTCCTGTTCTTAAAGGAAAGCTTTCAGTTTTTCACCATTAAGCGTGATATTAGCTAGGGGTTTGTCATATATGGCCTTCGTTATATTGAGGTACTTTCTTTCTATATCTATTTGATTGAATGTTTTAATCATAAATGAATGTTGTATCTTGTGAAAGGTTTTTTCTGCATTAAGTTATATGATCACATGATTTTTGTTTTTTATTTTATTAATTATACTGTTCTAAGCATATTACTAATATCAGCATATTTAATCCTCACATGATACACCTGGATACCATGATTACACCCATTTTATAGATGAGAAACTGAGGCCCAGTGACAGCACTGAAGTGCTGAGGGATGAGGGAAGTGTAGAATCTAGGAGGAACTAGATGGACCCTCATTCTTGGAGAGCAGTAAGTGATGGCCAGGAGACACAGCTCTGGGCCAGGAGCAGTGCTGCAGGAAGAGGTGATAGCATGTGGGGAAAGCGGAGTCTAAGGCAGAGAGGACAGGCAGAGCAGAAACCCTCACCTGCAAGGAGGGAGGCAGAGAGGTGAGCAAGGCAGGCCTTGGGTGTCCTAACGTGCCTGTTGGGACACTGGGGCTTCATGCACGGCAGCAGGGAGTGGAAAGTACTTCAGCAAATGTCTAACAAGGAGGGATTTCCACTTAGAGCAAGAATTGGCTGCTGCGCATAGAATGGATTGTGAAGCCCAGGGAGGCCAGGGAGGGGAGTCCTGGACTCCGAAGGTGGCCTTTCATGGAACTGTTTTCACATGTGGAGTAAATTCACTCAATGGTGGATGACACGGCATTCCAGGTCCTGTTGATAAGAGCCGCACCCCTTCTAACTTTCCCTATGGTGCCCCCACAACATTCTCAAGGACTTTCCACAGATGGATCCCCAGTGTCTCTGCCTCCATGTCCCTTCCTGCACAGGTCTGAGAGAGAGGGAGCAGCCATCAGTGTGGACACAGTCTGCAGCCACCGTCCTGACCCTGCAGGCATTGGGCTGGACAGAAGGCGGCTGTACCAGGAGCTGAGCCAGCTGACCCAAGGTGTCACCAAGTTGGGTCCCTACACCCTGGACCAGGACAGTCTCTATGTCAATGGTGAGCAGGGGCCACCTTTGCTTTGCTGTATTGCTTAGCTTGCATTCTACACCCCCCTCGCCACCCCACCCCCCATATGCCTCTTCATTTCCTTTTCCACATCCAGCACCTTTTCTCTCTCTTCTTTCCCTCTCTCTCTGCAGGTTACACTCACCAGACTTCAGAAACCACCCCCAGTGGTAAGTAATGAGTGGACTTCAGAAGCCCCTCTACCCTACCAGGGAAGGAAAGGACAGGCCCCTGCCCACATCTCCAGCTCCCAAGGAGGAACAGAGTCAGGAACACAGGCTGGGGAGTCATTGCGATATGACTCAGCTGTGAATCACCTCTGTGTTGTCAGCTGGATGCAGAGAAATGGCCAGTCAATGATGGTTGGGTAGATGGATAGAAGATAAATAAGTTAGCAATTAAATGGAAATAAATAATAAGGTTGGGTTGTAAACAGTCTCCTTCAAAGCTGGACAGTTTCCAAATGGCTCCCTCCTTCACCTGCTGCATGGGATGTTCTCACCTCCACACTGGTCATTCTGGAACCAGACACAGGACCATCAGCCCTCACTGCGTTTCCAGGGAGACAGCCACTGGTCTCAGCACGGTGGCCCCAGGCCCTGCCCCCTACATCCACCACAGGCCTGACTCAGTGTGGGCTGTCCTCTCCCTCTCCTGCTACAGCCACAGGACCACCCCTCGTGCCTTTTACCCTCAACTTCACCATCACCAACCTGTACTACATGGAGGACAAGTGGCCTCCAGGCTCCTTGAAATTCTACACCATGGAGAAGATCCTGCAGAGCCTGGTGAGAGCCCTGCCCATGATGCCAGACCTGCCCACCTAACCTCTGCCCAGCACACTGATGACCACCACTCCCCTTCTGCCCTGTCCATCAGTGCTAGCCCTGCCCAGCTCTTGTCCCAACCATAGATGACCATCTTGCCCCTGCCTCTGAGCCCATCTATTCACTCGCCTTGTCCTCACCCACAGCTCAAGCCCTTGTTCAAGAATTCTAGCGTGGGCACCCTCTACTCAGGCTGCAGACTCACTCGCCTCAGGTGAGACCTCCAGGAGCGGGCCGGAGCAGCCTCGGGTGCGCCCAGGTCTGAGGAGTTTGTTCTGCTTCCTTCCTGCCCTCCCTGTCTATGTCCTTAGAAGAAGTGGAATTCAGGAGGCATTTGTTCCAGGACCAATGCCTCTTCTGATTGCAACTCCCCATGTCGCTGTCCCCAGTTTCTGCAGAGCCCACCAGCAGGACTGGACCCCTAGCCTGGTCATCTTTCGGTATTTCCTCCCCCCTCCCTTTGACCAGTGAGGGCATTTCCTTTAGGTTTTCAATTCTGTTTCCAGCATTTTTCTCAGACAAATGTCTTTTCCACTTGTTTAATCCCAAATTTCATCTCTAAATGTCTCGCATATGAGCTTTCCTATCCCCAGGCCTTAAGGATGCAGGTGTCTGCATTGCAATTTAGTAATTTTCCCACCCACTGACAGTTTCTCCCTTGCAACTTAATAGTTTTCCCACCCACTGACCCTGCTCACAGTGTGGGGATGGTCAGAGCCGGCGAGCTCAGAGAATCTGTCTGACTTGTCACCTCTCTAACAGCCTCATTATTTCCTATGGCCTCTTCCTGTCCTGCCCCCAGGAATCTCAGGACCCCTCCTAGGAACTCACTTCATTTATTGCCACCCCCTTACCCACCCTTCGCCAGGCCCAAGAAGGATGGGATGGCCACTGGAGTGGACATGGTCTGCACACACCGCCCTGACCCTGTGATCCTCGGGCTGGACAGAGAACGGCTGTACTGGGACCTGAGCCCGCTGACTCGGGGTTTCACCCAGCTGGGCCCCTACACCCTGGACCAGGACAGTTTCTGCGTCAATGGTGAGAGGCAGCCGTCCTTTGTGCATCTCAGCAGGTCCCACATCCTTCCTCTCCACTGCCCCTTTCCCTGATCCCTCCTCCTCACTGTTTCTCTACCTTTGCAGGTTACATCTGCCAGATCCAGACCACCACCCCCAGCAGTAAGTTTTCTGAGGTTCAGAAGTCTCTAGAGTCCTGTAAGTCCGAGCCCTTAGGAATGGAAGAGACCAGGGCTTCACTGCCTCCACTCCCACCCCCACCTCACATTCAGCCTGGGGAAATGGGGACTGGTACCCATAGCGTCCAAAAATGGGCACTTTCTCCCTGGCATCTCCAGAATGATGAGGTTCCTACCCAAGCACTTGGGGTGTTTTCTCCCCAGCTTCTGCGATGCAGGTGTCTACGTCCATGCTGAGGAGCTATGTGGGGGCTGGGTCTCCTCCCCACTGAGTGCGCTCTGGGCAGCAGGCTTCTGGCCCTAGTTCAGACTCTCATTGGGTCTCGAATTTCAGAGGGATTTGAGCAAGGCTTTGGCCTCTCTGGGGCGGGAGGGGGTATTTTGTATCTTCCAGGTGAGTACTCTGTCTTCCTTTGAATGAATCCCAGAGAAGTGATCTATGAGTGATTTGTAGAGAGGATCTGGTGCCTCCTACCTGTGGGCCTGCTGGAGGGGGCTGGAGCCAGAGAAGTGAAGGATATGGAGGTCACAGGAACCGAGGGGAAAAACAGATGGGCCCAGCTGCCACCTCTCCGGTGGCCAATTTGCCGTTTGATTGAAGATCTCTCCTTTCCCCCTTTCTCACCGTCTCTTCCTCCCTTTACAGGTTCCACCCCTTTGGCCTCAGCTACCACGCCCAATTGTGAGTACTTTGACTTCTGTGTACCTATGGCCACCGCGCTGTCCCTAAAAATAGGATCTGCTCCACCAGCCAAACTTCCCTCCTGTTACCACCCCCCATCTGGATGGGAAGGAGTCCAGAGGCCACACATAGAACTGTGGTTAAACTGGGGGTGTAAGGAGTCACCCCTCCTCCCCACTCCCCAAACCACTGACTGCAGGGTAAATGGTGCATAGAGAAGGTGCATGTTTTTATAACTAGAACCACCGCTGACGCCACCATTCCCGTAAGGTTACAACACACTTTGGATTTTATTCCTGTTTTTCCCCTCAGTTCCTGTGACCTCCATATCCTTCACTTCTCTGGCTCCACCCCCCTCCAGCAGGCCCACAGGTAGGAGGCACCAAGTCCCCTCTGCAAAGCACTCAGAAGATCACTTCTCTAGTTGCTCACTCACCTTCCAGGGGGTGAGATCTGTAGATTTCAGCCCCCACCCCCACCCCAGCTGCTCAGAGTCCAGCTGCTCAGAATCCAAATCCTGAGTCCAACCCACATCACACAGCTGCTCTGACCCCTGGTCCACTCACCTCCTGCCGTCATCCGGCCCCTCAGTCTCTGACCCTAAAGTCATCTTTTCCCAAACGTACTTTCTCATCACCAAAAACAGGGAAATAGGCGCCAAACTTGACTCACCCTCTCGCCCACCTCCCACCTTAGTGCATCACCAGGTCATCTCTGCTCCATACGGAATGTCTCATGAGTCCTTCTTTTCTCTGCATCTGCATCACTCAGCCTTTTTTCAGGCCACTGGCATTTTTTGCTGGGATGACTGCAGTTGCCTCCACTCCAGCCTGCAGCAGTCCACGCAGCAGCCCCAGCCTCCCTCCCAGTGCACCTCTGTCCACATCACTCCTGTCTTGTTGACAGTCTTTGGATGACCACCTGCTCTATAAATCACACCCAAACCCCTTGCGGCACAGTCACTACCTCCCCTTCCTGGGCTCAGAGGCTCCCTCCAGTCTCATGTCTACACTCCCAAGGCTGTAGTGAAAGGACTTCAAGTTCTCTGAGGGCAACTGCTCTGTCCTACCGTCGGGCCTTGGTCCTTCTGCTTGAGCACTCTTCCCGCTTGCTTAGCTCCTGTCACCTAACTCTTACTCTTGCTTTTGGTGACACCAGAAATGATGCTGCCTTGGGAAAGCTTTCCCAGTCATTGAGGGGGTGTCTGTCTGTGGCATGTCCCCCGGCTTCCCTGCATCATCATGCTCTGGTCCCTCTCCTGGTCACAGCATTGAGACTATGCCTTATTCACCTTTGAACCGCAGAGCCCAGCACAGAGCCTCTCACACAGTAGGCGCTCAGTAGATGCTCACTGAATACATGAGTGAAGGTTCCCGATGTCTTAGCAATTCCATAATGTTCTCTCCTTCAGCTCCTGCAGCCCATGGCTGTACTTTTCATTTCAGTTTTTCTAAGACTCTGCCTTTGGTACTCTTTTCTCATCCTTTCATTCATATCTTTGTTGTTTGTTGGTGTTAGAGCTTCTCAGCATCAGTGTTACACCCGTTGTTCTATTGATTTTTAGTGAACATTTATTTCAACTCACTACCTTCCAGGCACCATCTAAGTTACATACAGCATCAGTCAGCTCTGGCTGCCATAACAAAATATCATAGACCGAGGCAAAGGGAGTCTGGCCCATAAACTGAAACATAGTAGGTGTGCACCAAAACATTGGAGGTTTTCAAAAATTAGTTGCCCTTGCATTAGGGGTGGGTTTCTCAAACTGTCCTTGGGTCCACCACTGGCTTCCTTTACTTTTTCTAAGCCATGACAGGGTTCTGGGCTCCTGAGGTCCAATAATAGCCATCTTTTCCTAAATTATATTAGGAAAAATAAGTTAAAATCAGCCCCACTAACTGTGTTTTGTTTATCACTGTCCAGTCCTTGGAATAGTTCCTGGAGCATTATAGGAACGAGTCAGTGCACAGGGAGGGAATGCAAAATGAATGGGTGGAAGGAAGGAAGAGGTGATGAGTGGACGAAGGGAAGGAGGTGAGATGGATGAGCAGCCGGAAGGAAGAAAAGGGGGATGGGAAGAGTGAAAGATGGATGAAGAGATGGGGGAAGAGGAGGGATGGGCAGAAGGACACATAGAAGGAGGTATAAATGGGAGGAAGTAAGGGAGGGAAGCAGCAAGGCAGGAAGGGATACTGGCTGGAAGGATGGATGGATGGATGGATGGATGGATGGATGGATGGATGGATGGATGGGAGGAAGGAAGGAAGGAAGGAAGGAAGGAAGGAAGGAAGGAAGGAAGGAAGGACCCATCGATGGATGAAAAGAAAGGTGGATGGAAAGGTAGAAGAATTATGGACAGAAGGAAGCTTGAAAGGGGTGATGAACAGAGTGAGGTAAGCTTTTCTCCCAGAGTTTTGTCTTAAATAAACACTCTGCCCCGCATCACTTATCTATTCTAGAGTCAAGCCATGGGGCCACTGGTCTTACCTGCATTATATGTTCATTTATGCTACTTCTATTGGGGTTTACACAGGTCACCCCAACTATTGAACATTGTGCCAGCTGCATGAGTCTGAGCCAGAGCACAACAGGGGTGCTCACAAGCAAAGTCTGGGGTCCAAACCAGAGCCTCCCTCCCTCCAGCCATGTGACCCTGGGCAGACGACCATTTCTGTGCTTTGGTTTCCTCCTTTATTTAACATGGGTAATTCTAGTACCCAGATTATTTTTATCCATGTAAAAAGCTTCGGCACAGTAAGAAAGTATTTCCTTATTTTATGTAATGAATCCTCATATAGCACTTATTCTGGGCTCAGCACTGTGCTTAAGCACGTTACAAAAATTAACTTATTTAAACCTTATAGCAACCTTTGAAGTAGGAATCGTTACTATTTCATCTCACAGGTGAGTAAGTTGAGGAGCAGAGAGGTTGGTTATAGTTGCTAGGATTTTTTAACCTTTTTAAATAAATGCATAGAGGGTTGACATACCTGGTTGTGATGGCGGGAGAGATGAGAGATAGATGATAGATGGGTAGATGGATGGATAGATAGATGATGATAGATGATAGATAGATAGATAGATAGATAGATAGATAGATAGATAGATAGATAGATAGATGATAGATAGATAGATA